GGTGATAGATATAGGACAGATGTCAGAGGTAGGTTCTTTACTCAGAGTAGTAAGGGCGTGGAATGCGCTGCCTGCAAAAATAGTAGACTCGCCAACTTTAAGGGCACTTAAATGGTCATTGGATAAACATATGGATGATAATGGAATAGTGTAGGTTAGATGGGCTTCAGATTGGTTTCACAGGTCGGCGCAACATCGAGGGCCGAAGGGCCTGTACTGCGCTGTTATGTTCTATGTTCTATTCTCCCAGCTGTGAGAGCGTTAACATTAACCGTCTATTAACCAATGGTGACAATATATCGCAACCAGGCAGCAAAGGGAATGTGACAGTTTGTTCCTCCATTACTGAGGGTTGGGCCATTAGTTCTATTGGTCCATATTCATGGCTTAAGGGCTGCTACCTTCTGTAGAATGGATGACCAGGAGACCCTCCTCTCTCACTGCCTGCCGATCAGGATTTCCAGGCTAACAATCGCCCCGTTTGGCCACAACACAAATCTAACCTTCCACAGCCAACAAGACACGGCATGGGATTTCAACCCAGAGCCCCTGCTCCAGAGGAAAGGGACACTACCATTTCCCCACAAAGTACTTTGAGTCGTGAGCCTTCATATCCTCTTGAGAGAATAAGTGACTAAAGGTGGTTAAGGTGCCAACGTCACTTAGAATTGAAGGTCAATGTTTGCCCTTGCAGTGTGGGGAAATAAGTGGTGAGAGAGAGAAAGGGACAGTATCCTAATGTAACCCCCTCTGAAGCAACATTGAGCCATTAGACCACATGACTGATTCTATTGAATGAATCTAATCTTAAACAATAAATCATCTAACTGCAGGTGAATTACTATCTAGTTCGAAGGATATGGTTTGTGTCTCAGACTAGCTACCTGATATCATTCCCATGTTAGGATTTAAATTTGCAACTGCTGCTGGATGGGCACGATTTCAGGAGCCTGCGAGTTCACACTTCACACTTTGTGATGATTTGGATCTTGGATCAAAAGTTTTTTTTTTTTTTGGTCTTGTTCCTCTTGAGATTTTCTTTCATTTTCAATAAACACTGATTAATTTTGGCTGTCCTCATCTTTTGAATGATTTTTGTTTAGATTGCCAACCTGAAACAGTTTTAAAGTCTGTAATTGTGGCAGAAGTCACATGCTGCTAAATTAAACTAATTTAAAGCCATCTTTTAAATCTCGCACAAAGAGTTGGGAGAGGCTAATTATCACTTTTAAAAACCAAAAGAACTGCGGGTGCTGTAAATCAGGAACAAAAACAAAGTTGCTGGAGAAACTCAGCAGGTCTGGCAGCAGGTGTGAAGGAAAAAACAGAATTAATCTTTTGGGACCGGTGACCCTTCCTCAGAACTTAATTATCACTTATTGAGGTGCCAACTGAGGGATTGGCAGAGGGAGGTTCTGGAGAGGGGTAGTGACTGGCAGGGGAGGAATATGAGGAGAGCAGAGACTGAGTGGGAGCGCTGAGGGTCCTATCTGGTCTTATGATATGTGAGGTTATGCATTTTGGCAGGAAAAATAGAGGAGCTGGATATCACTGGAGTGGAGAAATGGTGAATGTTTTGGACCCTTTGATAAAAGGAAAAATGTACTGGCATTGGAGACAGTCCAGAAAAGGTTCAATTGGCTGGTATCAGGAATAGAGGGATTGTCTTATGAGGAGAAGTTGAGCCTGTACACATGATGTTTTAGAATAGGAAAAGTCCTAATTGAAGTGTGCTTGAACGATGAGGCTTAGGGACTTTGACAGAGGAGATAGGGAGAGGTTGTTACCCCTTATGGGAGAGTCTAGGACCAGAGGGCAGTGTCTCAGAGTAAGGGGTCACTCATTGAAGACAGGGATTAGGAGGGATTTCTACTCTCCGAGGGGCATGAATTTGCAGAATTCTTTAGCAGAGGGGGCTGTCGATGTTGGGTCATTCGGTATATTCATGGGTGATAGAGATTTTTATTCAGGAAGGGAATCGATGGTTATAGGGATAAAGCAGGAAAGTGGAGCTGAAGATGATCATATCAGTCACACACTCATTGCATGAAGGAGCAGCATGGGTGGGCTGAATGGCCTCTTTGCTACTCCTGTATCATATTATCATGTGATAGAAACGGGCGTGTCCCGTGAGGGATGGGCATGATCCACGCACGGGGCGTGCCCTGTGGGTGATGGGCGTGTCCAACAACGCGGGGGCGTGACCCGTGAAAGATGGGCGTGTCCAGCTGGGAGCGGCGTGTTGCGATTGGGCGGCCGCCCGGCGCCCTGCCCTCTGATTGGCCGGCGTCCAGAAGTCTCCGCCCCGCCCCCTCCGCCCTCCTCGGTCCGCCTTGAGCCTTGAAGTAGCGGCGCCAGCGGCCACCTCCCGCAGTCTGCAGCCGCGTCCGGGGTTGCGCCGAGGGGGGCACTGCTGCTGCTGGTGGGGGAACGCTGCAGCCGTTTCAGTTTCCACTTAAAGTCCCCACCGCCTCCGCCGCCGCCGCCGGATGGTGACCACCGGCAGCCCAAAGCAGCGGAAGAAAAAGAAGGGGGCGGGCGGCGGCTGCGGGGGAGCCAGCAGAAAGCGGCGGCGGAAAAAGAGGCCGCAGATGCGGGCCATGCTGCCGCCGCTGCCGCTGCCCGAGCACTTGGAGCAGGGTCGGCGGCGGAGGAGGCGCCGTAGGATGCAGGGCATCAATAAGCTGATCCTGCAGGCGCTGTCGGCCCGCAAGCAGCCGGGCGGCGTGTCCCTGACCTCCCTGCGGGAGGCCCTGCTCTCCAGCGGCTACGACGTGGAGAAGAACAAGTTGCAGCTCCGCACGGCAGTCGGCGGCCTGGTCCGCAACGGCTCGTTGGTGCGGACCCGGGGCCGGGGGACCAGAGGTGGGAGGGAGGAGGCCGGCGGCTGCCTGCGGCTCAGCCGGAGACAGAAGCAGCAGCTGAAGAAGCAGCAGCAAAGGCAGACGGGCACCAGGGCGAGAGGCCAGCGGGCAACCACCACCACCGCCGCCGCTGCCGCCGTTAAGAGGAGGAAGTCCCCGGCCCCGACGGCTTCGAGGAGCGGCCCCCGGCGGAAGAGGAAGTCGGGCAAACCCGCCGTCGCTACGACCACCACCCGGGCGAGGGTCAGGAAAAGAGCCGGGGTCAAGGCGACCACCGCCACCAACGCAAGGGTCACCTCCAGAAAAGCTAAGACCAGGCGCAGAAATTAAATGTCTGCCTCGCGTTCTCCGCGAGTTAAAAGACCCATGCCACCCCTCCATTCCAACAGGAGCCCACACACACAAAACCAAAAGGCTCTTTTCAGAGCCATAAACCCGCCTCCCGAAAAGCGGCGATGATCCTTCGGGCAAACTCCGGCGGCGGCTTAGAGTCACATCCTCCCCCTTTTTAACAACCCCAAGGACCGAAAGAACTGCGGTTGCTGTCAATCCGGAACGGAAACAAAATTTGCTGGAAAAGCTCAGCAGGTCTGGCAGCATCTATGAAGGAGAAATCCTAAGAGTTTAACAACATTCTCAGAAAGGGTCCATCGATCCGAAATTTCACCCACCGTTGCTGCTAGACTTGCTGGGCTTTTTCCGCTATTTTGTTTTGTTGCCCAAATTTATAGTCCTCTTAATTTCCCTGCTTTCACCAAAACTCTCCAGTTTATACTCCTCCCCCTTTACCGTACTTTTCTCATTTCTAATCTGCAAAAGTTACTGTCCCGTTGGTGTTTAGTCTCTACTATGTTTCCCGAACCCTGCTCTTTTGCTACTTTTACCCTCACCTCAGGTTATAATCCCCCACCATCTCCTTCTTTCCCTTCCCTGCCTTTTGTCCCTTCCTTCCAACCGGGACAGTGCTGAAAGGTTGCTCTTTGTTACTCGATGACCGGCCAAGGTAAATTTGTGTGTTTTAATCTATAAAGTGTATGTCAGTTACAGGTATTTTTTATTGCATCCTATCATAGGCTATAGAGATCTATGGGCTACACTGACGAAGCGACACGAGCATCCTCGCTGAAGCCTTCACCAGCATCGACAATGTGGAGAAAGGTGGAGACCACTTTGGGCGAGAACCTAAGACCTCGTGGACTATGAAGAGGCCAAAGGAAAACCTACAGGGAGAAAGATCCTACGATTCATTTTCTGAAAAGTTTTGTAATAAAACAAACACAAAAAGAAACTTTTGGGAAAGCAGTGTCATCATTTACCAAATTCCAGGGGCTTTGTTTGGTGTTTTAATGGTGAAAAAAAAATCCTTCGATCGACTTTTGTGGATTCAGACAGTTTACCCCCATTTGACAGACTTGAGTCGTGCAAGCGTCTTGATTTAGCCATAGCCCAGACCCCGTTACACAAAGACAGATAACAGAGAGGAAATAGACAAAAAAGAAACAGAAAATGGACAGAGATACACGAAACAGGCAATAAACGCGTAAAATACAGAAATGGCAAATGGACTAGGAGGCGGACAGGCAAAAGATAGATAACGGACAGACTGATAAAACATAATGTCAGGACCCTTCTAGAACATGGAAAACAGTGCAAAGATGTGCAGATTAGGTGGGTTAGCCATGGGAAATGCAAAGTTCAAGGGATTGGGTAGGGGGTGGGTCTGGATGGGATGCCCTTTGGCGGGTAGGTCTGGACGGAATGGTCTGTTCCCACCCTGTAGGAGATTTTATGATTCTATATACGAGAGAGAGAGAGACAAACGACAGATAATATAGGAAAGGCACGGTCTCCGCCATCGGAGACGACAAGAGGACTCTGAGACCTAGAGTCACTGGACCCGAAACGTTAACTCTGATTTCTATCTTCACAGATGCTGCCAGACCCGCAGGAAGCAGGCTGTGGAGAGATTATTTAGAAGCAGTTAGTAGTATCAGAAGTGACAACTTCTGTTTTTTGTTTCAGGTAATAAACGGTCAAGAGGCAGACAGACAAGGGTCAGACGAACAAACATAACTGACAAGAGGCAGCGACGTTACAGACACACAGACTTGCTGCTGTCGTTCCTTTCTGGTGTGGAGGTGCCGGTGTTGAACTGGGTTGGACCAGGAACCAGTGTCTTCAAATAAACCTGATGGACAATAAACCTGGCGCCGTCTGATTTTTCACCTTGTTCCTTTCTGAGAGAGGTGACACGACAAGGGGGTGTGGCCTAGCGGTAACGGGCGGGGTCCAAACGACGGGGCGTGGCCTAGCCGCAGAGGGTAGGGCGGCGAGGGGGCGGGGATTAGCCGCAAGTTGTCTCCACGCCGTCCGCTCCCTTTCCTTATGTAGAACGTCGCTGCCGCGACCCCGCCAGTTGTTGGGTGCGACGGGCGCGGAGTGGTGTCTGATGGCGGAGACTGTGCCCGTTAGAGGTGATGTACCGGCGTCTACTGCCCCGGAATCTGCCGCAGTCCCAGCCGCCACCAAGAAGAAAGCCGCTTACCGGCCTCAGAAAGGTGGAGGAGGTGGCGCTACCACCGCGGCGGCTGAGCAGATTCTGGAGGCGGTGGCCGCTGCCAAGGAGCGCCAGGCGCCGGCCAAGCTCGGCGGGTCTCTGAAGAAAACCATCTCGGCCGCGGGTTACGAGCCGACGGAGAAGGGCGGCCCGGGTCGGCCCAACCCGCCGCTCGGTAGCACCTCGGCCAACAGGGGGGGCTCGGCGGCGGAAAGTGGGCCCGGGACCTCCGCATCCACGTTGCAGTCGGAGCAGAGGCAGCAGCAGGTGGCGGAGGAAGGACGGGAGGAAGGAGAAGCTCAGGATCGGCCCAAGCAAAGAGCAACCAAGAGAAAAGCGGCTCCCAAAAGGGCGGCGGCGGCCAAACGCACCAAGAAAGCGGCGGCCAAAAGCCCCCGGAAGGGGACGGCGGCCAAGGCCAGGAAAACCCCCAAGCGGGCGGCGGGGAAACGGGCGACGACGGGGAAGAAGAGAAGGTAAAAGTGCTAGGAGCAGAGACAGAGCTCAACACAAAAAGGCTCTTTTCAGAGCCACTCAAGTATTGTCACCAAAAAAAGCTACAGCCGGAGAAAACAAATGCGGGAAACAGGATGAAGAGAAATTATTTAGAAGTGGTTAATAGTATCAGAAAAGACAAATATTGGTTGGAAGTATTCAGATGCTAGAAACGTGATTAGCCATGGACATAGAAGGTTCAGCTTTTTAATTTGACCAGCTCCAACTGAGCATTGCCATCATTTTCTTAACAAAACGTTTGTCTTGTTTTCGACATTTCCCATAATCAAGGCATAGATCTGCTGTCGACAAAGATTAGCTCAGAAGAGGTTTCCTGGTATGTGGAGAAGGAAGAGGCGATGGGCACTTGAAGGCGGAAATGTGAATGGCAGGACACTTGCACTGCTCTTACCCCGAAAAAAACCCCTCCCTTTATTTTGTTTGTTTATGGTCTGAAATTTCAGTTTGGTAAGCTATGCATTGCTCAGTCAAAAGAGGGGTGTGTGTGTTTCAGTAATCCCTCCTGTCGATATGAAATTTCACAGAAAAGCCAGCAAGAGGCCGATACCAGACTGGGAGCTAGGCGGTGAATATTCCCAAGCGGCTGTCAATATATTCTTAGGGAAGTACTTTAAATGTTTCTTTATATCAACCTATATTGCACTATGCAAGAAATGGTTGAAATTGTCCTATTGTAAATAGCATAAACAAATATTTAACCCCCGTTCCTTCAACAACAACCTTACGGCTACTGAAAGCTCAGTGAAGGACAATTTAAGGCACAGTTGGTGTGACTATCGTCTTTGCAACCAATTTTTACATTTACTTGTTATTTTGTTTAGTAAATGCCTCTTGCCATGATTGTTAAACGAGCTAACTCAGCTAATTTATTTCTTAGCATGTGCTCCTTCAACATATGTCTGTCACAGCCTTGCAGAATGTCTTCCTCTCCGACACTTCAAAAACATTCTGCATCTCATACATGTTTATTACCAACTTATCATCTATACAGGATTTATTTTCTTCCATCCTAACCCCGTTTCAAAAGATAAATTAACACCACATTGCTGTTATAAACACTTTCTGCCTGACTGAACATGCATATTGCTTTATGAGGCAAAGTTTCTGTCTCTCTTTCTGTGTCATTGGACTTCTTGATGCTAGACTACAGCCCTTTTTCTCATTCACACTTTTTTGTACTGTATGAAACCTCATGATTTCTAAGACACTATTCAAGTGCAAGTAGGCACCATAAATCTCCAGACACCACCCACATAATAAGTTTAAAATGAAGCCAAAGGTCAGGTGAGTGAATGCTTTTAATATCAAGGCCACACCGCGTGTGGCATTTCAGAGCCTGGCAATACTGGCATTAATGGGAATCAAGAAGCAAACTCTCTACTCATTAGAATCATATCTGGCACAAAGGAAGATGGTACGATAGTAGGTGGTCCGGCATCTGAGTTCCAGGGACATCTCTGTAAGAACTCTTCAAGGTAGGTATTTCCTTTTTGACCCGCTCAGGAATGTAATTACACACATCTAGAGGGGGTGGAACTTGAATCTGGGCATCCTGGTCCAGAGGTACGGACACTCCTGCTGCACTACAAGGGCCTAATTCTTCAGCGAAATGTCCCAGGCCAAACCATCTTCACCTGCTTCATTAGTGTCCTTCCCTCCAACATAAGGTCAAAAGTTGGGATGTTCACCGACAAATGTACCATGTTTAACAGCAACCACAACTCCTCAATTGAAACTTAACGTAAGACAACCAATTAGAGATTGGGCTACTTTAGATTTAGTACTATGCAATGGGAAAATCTACAGAAATGTTGTAATAAATTCTTTGCACCTTCTCCAATACATCTCAAGTAATGTGTTGTAATTAAAATTTAGAGCGTCCATCAAAGATCTAACTCAGTACGAGTAAGTTCTGTGACTCGCTGTGCTCTGGGGAAAATAATTCTTAACGTTGAGTGACTCTCTGAAGTTCCTCGTTATTTAAGGCAAATAGAATGGAGGATAAAGGAAGGAAAAGTGACCCAAAAGGATGGAAGACATGTTTATATGAAGAAAATTAACATAAGAGCTTGGAGCAGGAGTAGGCCATCTGGCCCCTCGAGCCTGCCCCGCCATTTAATAAGATCATGGCTGATCTGAAATGAAAGACAATAAATCCTCAAATAAACTAATGCTATGATCGTGGTGACTCCACGTTGCCGTTATTTAAGGGAAATCGATGAGTCAATTGTATAAATTCCGTGTAAAGAGACTTTATCGTTGTGCAACGAGATTGTGGTTCGAAGTTTAGCGCAAGGGACTGTGCTGATATAATAAAAAATACAGGTGCTGGAAATCTGCAACAAACAAGAACAGACGTTGGACCAACGCAACAGGTCTGGCTGCATCTGTGAAGGGAAATAACTGACTTTTTCAGGTCAGCGATCCTTTTTTTCTCTAAATAAATGTGGTCAGCAATTCTCAAATTTTATTGTTTATAGAAACCTCCTCCACTATTATCAAGTGACTTGTTTTGGCCGGTTCCGTGCCTTTAAAAGTATTTTTGGTGGTTCTTAAAAGAACCTTTGGTTTGCAAATCACATGTCCTCTTAAACACTATCTTCAACCACCGAAGCCATACAGAGTTCGCCCCTGACGCTTCAGCGCATAAACGACGTCCATGGCGGTCACGGTCTTGCGCTTGGCATGCTCCGTGTAGGTGACCGAATCCCTGATCACATTCTCCAAGAAAACCTTCAAAACCCCACGCACCTCCTCGTAGATGAGACCGGAGATTCGTTTGACACCACCACGGCGAGCGAGACGCCGAATAGCAGGTTTAGTGATCCCCTGAATATTGTCCCGCAGAACTTTGCGGTGGCGCTTCGCTCCGCCTTTCCCCAAACCCTTACCACCTTTCCCTCTACCCGACATTACTTAAACAGTGCGCACAAACAAGTACCGAGAAGCCGCTTTCTGCCCTTTCTATTATACAGTATCAGCGGACCTGGGTGAAAAACAGAAGAAGGCCGCGAGCCGCTCGCACAGGTCACGTGACCTCGCTTCCGAAGCCCGCTGATTTCAAATTGAACTCCGGTACTGGCCGTTCCCATCTCTTCGTGATAAAAAGTATCTCACTACCTCGTGCCTAAAAACAATATATTTCTGGCTATTTGTTAATGAATATCTAGCATTAAACTGAAAACAAATTAGTCTATGCTGTTCGACGCTGGGTTATTTTGAACAACCTACCAAAGCATGGAAAGGAAACAAATGATTCTTGGAAAGTGAATATTACATGAAAGAATTGTTGAACGTGCAAATAAAATCAAGAGAATTCTATATCCTACTCTGGACAGTACTCTATTAAGATAAATTACATTTCAATTAGTCTATTCTTGACTCTGGCATCAAACTCCAGCCAGGAAAATGCTATGACAAGAAAACAGTGCATTTTCACCAATCATGGGTGTAAAATTGTTTTGCAATTGGTCAGATGTAAATAAAAGGCTTGAATTGTCGTGCTTTTCAGGTGTGGTCACTGTTGCCAGATAGGGAAACAATGCAGCAATATCTATTGTACAGCGAAATTACACAACCAACACACATGGCCATGTTGTCAGGCTTTGATGATGTTGGTTGGGACGATAAATAGTTGGGACAGAAGGAAACTCCCCGATCATTTTTAAATAATATATTACATTTCACACTTACCCAATTGGTTATACAGGAACTATATTTAATGTCCCTTTTCAAAAAATATGCAGAACTATAATCAGGACTTGTATCTTGTAGGTGGTGGGACAGGCTTTGGGGAGGCAGGAGGTGAGTTACTCGCTACAGGATTCCCAACCTCTGACCTGCTTTTGTAGCTGCTGTGTTTATGTGGCAAGTCCATTTCAGTTTCTGCTCAAGGGTAACCCTGTAGAACATAGAACATTACAGCGCAGTACAGGCCCTTCGGCCCTCGAT